AGGAAAAACGAAATTTTTTTCCAAAAGTTCACCGTTTCGACGGTGGAATGGTCGGATTTTGTCAACATCAATAAAATGCCAAATAATCATATGTAACTCATTAAATATCGAAGTTAGAAGAAAAATAACTTTTATTTAAAGCATGCTGATGACTTATACGGGGATTTTGAGAAAAAAAATTTTCCGAGATTTTTCCAACGTTGGCGCTCGTAGCGAAATGGTTGAGGGTTTAGTTTTGCTTAATCGCCTTTCACCCGGTGTTCGTTAGAATTGTCTCATGGGTCGACGAAGAAATTAGTATAACACGAGAGGACGTCGTGAAAGCACGGTGAATCATCGAGCGAGGTATGAGATTGGTAAAAATACAAGGAGCGCGCGAACGATTACTCTGAAGAAAAAAGTGAAACACGGGATTCCTCTCGGTCAGCCGTGGCGAGCTAGAGAAAGTTTAGCGTTGGGCAAGCCAGGCTGCTGGCCGGCATTAATTTCTCGCGTAAGAACGATGGGTATCTCGACTATTTGCGTAACCTGTTACGGTGCCCCGTTGCACGTGCAGCGCTGTAATAACAAAGTTGCACCTGTTCTATTCGAATTGAACGGCTGGTCCACGCGAAACCACAGAAAAAGTAGATACAATGAAATCATACAGGAAAATTATTATTTTTGGTAGACAGTTCTGAATTAAAGTTTAATTTACAGCGACGTTCATTCGTGAATCTCTCTTTGGAAGATACACTTCAACGAAACGACTGTCTCTCTCCCTTAATGACGTTTCCGTTAATGGTGGCTCCATGAAACATAAATACGACGCAATTTTCCTTTATAAATACCGTCCGCGGAAAACGTATAGGAGTCCCCGGAATTTACTCGAGTCTCACGTGGAATTTAGGTACACGAAATTCGTATATCTGCAGAAATTTCAGTTTGCGAACGAGCTCCTCGCGCAGGGAGATTATGTATGCATGAAATTCACGTGTGCATCTTCTGCCGCGTAACGTATTATGAAATTCATAGGACGACACGAACCGTCTTGTCCTACGAATTTCACGATGTAAATCTACAAGCCGATCTCGCGTTCAGAAACGAATTTTAGTCTGGAGATTGGAAAGGACGAGGATTAGAAAGATCGTTAGGAAATAAATCGCGTGTATTGCGTGTCGAAAAAGGAAACGATACGTCGAATCAATTAATTGCGCAACGTGGTCGCTTCGCGTGCGACTGCATGGGACGTCGTTATTAACTACTTAGGACCGTCACAACGTCGTCTTATCAAGCACGGGTTTGACGTGTCCTCCCGTCGCGAATCACGACTTCCCTTAGAAATGACCAGCATACAAAACAGTTTCGCAATTCTATTTCTCATTTCGCAAGATAATTATCAATCGTTTTGAGAGATCGACCGATATTTTTCAGATGTTGATCCAGCCGACAGAGGAGATGTCCAAGATGATCCGGGTGGAGCTGAACGAGAACGTGGCTACGCGCGACAAGGACTTGGAGATCATCAAAGAATGGCTTTCGAAACAGCCGCATTTACCTCGTTACGATGGTAATTCGGAGAGTCGACTAATCGTAAATACGACGTAGCCTCTCTCCACTATTATTCTGCTCTCTGCTGCTCTTCGGTGCTTCCACAGATGGTGAATCCCTCCTTAAAATCCCGCAGATTCCTCGCTGTAGCAACGCCTAGCTTCCTCGTTCGCGCATACTGACACGCTCGTCTTCTTTCACCGTTCTAGACGATCGCCGGCTAATGACGTTCCTTCGAGGTTGCAAGTTCTCCTTGGAGAAATGCAAGAGGAAGCTCGACATGTACTTCACGATGCGAGCCGCGGTTCCGGAATTCTTCACCAACCGCGACGTCACCAGGCCGGAAGTACGAGACGTTTTGAAACAAGTGTAAGTTTGCGTTTAAATGCGTTATGAAACGAAACGGCAGGCAGTCGAGGGTCTCGACGCGTCGCCCGGTGACGCGTGTTTCATATTCAACGTGTCTCTACCGCTAGACGCAGTATTAAAATAAAGAATTTTCTAATCCGACGAGCGTGAGCAATTTTCGCAGCGACATCGACACGAAGTGCGCTCGAGTCAGTCGGGAAACTTGCCGAGAGCAAATTTACATAGCGTAACGAGAAAAGTTCCGGTCCGTTTTAATAAACCCTGACTCTTCAGTATTTAAGTCTAGCCGGCGCCGCGAAAAATCGCTCGTACAATTTTATCAAAAGTTACGAACACTAGTTTGTCAAAATAAGACTCTTATACGAAAGAATCGTTTCGCGATCGAAGTTGAGACTTATTCGTAACTAATCTCGAATCCCCGATTTTTTTCAGTCAAATTCCTCCACTGCCGGGCCTGACCACGAACGGGCGACGGGTGATAGTGATGAGAGGCGTCGACAAAGACATGCCGACCCCGAACGTGCCCGAGTTGATGAAACTCATTCTGATGATCGGTGATATACGTTTGAAGGAGGAGCTGATCGGGGTCGCGGGAGACGTGTACATCCTCGACGCGAGCGTCGCGACGCCGTCGCACTTCGCCAAATTCACCCCGGCCCTCGTCAAGAAGTTCCTGGTCTGCGTACAGGAAGCGTACCCGGTGAAGCTGAAGGAGGTGCACGTGGTGAACGTCAGCCCGTTGGTCGACACCATCGTGAATTTCGTCAAACCGTTCGTGAAGGAGAAGATCCGCAACAGAATTTTTATGCACAGCGACTTGAAGACGTTGCACGAATACGTGCCCAAGGAGATGCTGCCCACGGAATACGGCGGCGACGCTGGACCCATCCAGGCCATTCACGGTAAGTAAACGATTCTTGCTTCAGGGTCGACACTCGTTTTGTAAACGAAATCGTAAAGTCTTGATTCGTCTCCCTTAAGGACCGATAAATTCTTGCCATTCCGAAGAGTGGCTCTTACCTTTTCAAACTACTTTCTCATCGTAATTGGTTTGCCTTCTTAAGAGAATTCTCAATGCGTGTTTACAGAGTCGTGGATAAAGAAATTAGAAGAGTATGGCCCATGGTTCAAGGAACAAGAGTCCCTGAAAACGAACGAGCTACTCCGGCCAGGGAAGCCGAAGACGCATGACGATCTGTTCGGTCTAGACGGATCGTTCCGACAACTGGTGATCGATTAAAATAGTAAGAGCGTATCAGTCGACGATACTTACTTAAATTAGAATAATATCGATCAGTCTTCGTCTCGGTGTTAACGCGAAGTACCTGCTGTTCTGGTGTACTGTTTAGAAGGTAATCGTAAAGCGTTCGAAATTATGTAAGACCCTTCGATTTCCGTTTCTCCGTTCCGTCCTTCCATTTATTAGTCTTAGACGAATTGTAAAAATTCGTACGTCCCACGTTCTCGGGAAATGGGCTCGGTTCACGTGCATTACTCGATGTCTATACTTGTATAAAAATTAAGATAGATCGAATATACGTACGTCTCGCGATTCCAGGGTAATTTTACAACGAACGACATTATATGTATTTGTAAATAAAGACCGGTTATCCGATTATCCATACTTCTCATGTATTCTGCGATCAATGTATATTCTCTGTGTATGTACTTTTACAAGACGTGTGTTCACTGAACGTCGTGCTATCAGACGTTAATAAAATTTGCTCCTACCTACAGACACTACACCTACATCTGTCAGTAGCACGAACGCTTTGCTATTAGCGATTCGCTCACGATATTCTTTACGTGTAAGTACTTTAATTTTAAGTACTCTACTTTGAAATTCAGTCGCGATTCGTTAAAACTGCTTCGCTAGGAACCGAGATTTTACTTTTACCTTTTTACTTTCTATTTCGGAAACAATATGATTCCGTCTTAGAAAAATTTTACTATCTCGGTTTCTAGCGATTCGCTCATGACATTCTTTACGTGTAAGTACTTTAGTTTTAAGTACTCTACTTCGAAATTCAGTCGCGATTCGTAAAAACCACTTCGCTAGGAACCGAGATTTTACTTTTACCTTTTTACTTTTTATTTCGGAAACAATATGATTCCGTCTTAGAAAAATTTTACTATCTCGGTTTCTAGCGATTCGCTCATGACATTCTTTACGTGTAAGTACTTTAGTTTTAAGTACTCTACTTCGAAATTCAGTCGCGATTCATTAAAACCACTTCGCTAGGAACCGAGATTTTACTTTTACCTTTTTACTTTCTATTTCGGAAACAATATGATTCCGTCTTAGAAAAATTTTACTATCTCGGTTTCTAGCGATTCGCTCATGACATTCTTTACGTGTAAGTACTTTAGTTTTAAGTACTCTACTTCGAAATTCAGTCGCGATTCATTAAAACCACTTCGCTAGGAACCGAGATTTTACTTTTACCTTTTTACTTTTTATTTCGGAAACAATATGATTCCGTCTTAGAAAAATTTTACTATCTCGGTTTCTAGCGATTCGCTCATGACATTCTTTACGTGTAAGTACTTTAGTTTTAAGTACTCTACTTCGAAATTCAGTCGCGATTCATTAAAACCACTTCGCTAGGAACCGAGATTTTACTTTTACCTTTTTACTTTCTATTTCGGAAACAATATGATTCCGTCTTAGAAAAATTTTACTATCTCGGTTTCTAGCGATTCGCTCATGACATTCTTTACGTGTAAGTACTTTAGTTTTAAGTACTCTACTTCGAAATTCAGTCGCGATTCATTAAAACCACTTCGCTAGGAACCGAGATTTTACTTTTACCTTTTTACTTTCTATTTCGGAAACAATATGATTCCGTCTTAGAAAAATTTTACTATCTCGGTTTCTAGCGATTCGCTCATGACATTCTTTACGTGTAAGTACTTTAGTTTTAAGTACTCTACTTCGAAATTCAGTCGCGATTCATTAAAACCACTTCGCTAGGAACCGAGATTTTACTTTTACCTTTTTACTTTCTATTTCGGAAACAATATGATTCCGTCTTAGAAAAATTTTACTATCTCGGTTTCTAGCGATTCGCTCATGACATTCTTTACGTGTAAGTACTTTAGTTTTAAGTACTCTACTTCGAAATTCAGTCGCGATTCATTAAAACCACTTCGCTAGGAACCGAGATTTTACTTTTACCTTTTTACTTTCTATTTCGGAAACAATATGATTCCGTCTTAGAAAAATTTTACTATCTCGGTTTCTAGCGATTCGCTCATGACATTCTTTACGTGTAAGTACTTTAGTTTTAAGTACTCTACTTCGAAATTCAGTCGCGATTCATTAAAACCACTTCGCTAGGAACCGAGATTTTACTTTTACCTTTTTACTTTCTATTTCGGAAACAATATGATTCCGTCTTAGAAAAATTTTACTATCTCGGTTTCTAGCGATTCGCTCATGACATTCTTTACGTGTAAGTACTTTAGTTTTAAGTACTCTACTTCGAAATTCAGTCGCGATTCATTAAAACCACTTCGCTAGGAACCGAGATTTTACTTTTACCTTTTTACTTTCTATTTCGGAAACAATATGATTCCGTCTTAGAAAAATTTTACTATCTCGGTTTCTAGCGATTCGCTCATGACATTCTTTACGTGTAAGTACTTTAGTTTTAAGTACTCTACTTCGAAATTCAGTCGCGATTCATTAAAACCACTTCGCTAGGAACCGAGATTTTACTTTTACCTTTTTACTTTCTATTTCGGAAACAATATGATTCCGTCTTAG